ATCAAGGAAAAAATAGCATCTCATTCTGCTAAAATGTTGTGTGTGATTTAAGTTGAAAACAGCTAGCAATTGAATCTGTTTTAAGATATTTTGTTGGGTTTATTTTTAGTTAAAATTAACAGGTAAAAAGGGTACTCAATAAGAGATGAATTTACAATACAAAAATTGTGGATTCAAAATTAAATTTGATAAAGATCTTTGAATAAGAGTTTGAATCAAATATCATTAATTATCAAGATAGACTACCTTACCAATCGAATCAACTCAAGAGAAAGATTAAGTGTTGACTCATTACAATTTAAACTCACATATTAGGAATGGATTTGCCAAGCATAATGTATCACATCTGAGGATGCAACAGGATGAAGATTCGGCCCCTGTGGGGCATGAAGTTAGGCAAAACTTGGCCCCTAATAAAAGGGGGAAGAAACGGGGTGGGTGGGGACCCATTTATTATTGTTGTCATATTGAGTAATTTTTAGCAAAAGTCACACACAAAAAGTAGCATAAATTGTTTGATTATCTGTCAGAAATTGACAAATGAGGCGGTTTTGGACAATAGGGACTTGAGCTTTGGGATAAGAGAAGGTTTCTTTTGAGAAAATTGAGAGTCATATATTAGATAACATAGAATATGGAGGGGATGTCCCCCACACGTCAAAATAGTGGTGGGAAGTGGGATGGAAAGGTTAGCATTGTAAGAATATTTTTTGGCCTTTGGAGAATGGAGCTGAATCAAAAGAATTTGATTTTGAGTTGGAAAATATGTGATGGGGAGGGTTGGGAATTTGGTCTGACCCCATGATTGCACAGCTCAATCCCCCCCCATTTGACACTTTGCCACCACCCAAAATCTTCCCATCATTTGCTTATTCTCATGTTGCTTTCACTTTCATCATACACACTACAATCTATATTCTTCTCTTAATTTGAAAATCCAATTTAAAGAAAAAAACAACAACATTTGGCTTCGAATAAAAGGTAAACATTTTTAGTTTACATGGGATAGGATATTAATGTGAATATTCATTAATAATATTGGTGTAGTACATATTATTCATGGGGTAAGATCTATAAGCCCCCAAAATGTTTACATGCAAAGATGATTTCTCATTATATTTTACTTGTACTTCTTTTGTATGTATATGCGCAATCATTCTGAAATTAGAGGTATCGATAGGTTACAAAGGTGGAACCTAAAAATTTTGGTTATTAAGTCACTGTCTTAACAGTTAAGAGACAGCACTATTGGGTACAAGTTATTAATATCTTTGTTACCATGCTGTGCTAATTTTGACCCTTTTAAGTACTTTTTTGAAATCTATAGAGCTTGTGAATTTTCCAGGCAATTTCCTCTCTTGCTTTCACTTGATTTTGTTTTTAACATCCTATTGCCTTGATTTAGTAAAGACTTGAAATAGAAGTTCTTTAGATATTTTCATTTTTGTAGGTCAATTTTTCACTGTGGTCTAGATTCTGCTATGAATTTGCTGCACGTAGCACAAAAAATTAGGAAAAAAACATAAAAAAATGGTATATATTTCCATTGCAAGTCTTTTTCTTGTACAACTATATATATATATATGTGTGTGTGTGCGCGTGTAGACCTATAAAATTAAGTCCATATCGTCCAGCCCTGCTAAATTTTGTCTTCAACTGAAAGCTTGAGAAACTAGTTTTGGGCACATATCTATTAAGGACCATAGATTTGAAAGAGGCTAAATTCCTTTACATAGATTTGAAAGAGGCTAAATTCCTTTACACCCAGAAATTTTATAACCATAAGTCTTGAAGTTTTCATTATGAATATCAATAGGTGAAACATTTTTTTTTAAAGACTTTCATGACACTGGTAGTGATCAATTTGTGTGTAAGAGAGTCTAATTCAGTCGCAACGTTACCAAACGAGACCGATACTAATCGACTAATGTGTTATTGGTGCGCCAAGTGTCTAATTCAATCACAAACATCATCAACAGGCAGAAAAAGAATAAAATAAAATCAATTGCTCGAAATCATCTTCGGCATGGCATGGGGCACCTCTAGTTGTGGGGCTAAGCGGCCAAAGAACTTAAATGTGATTGGAAAATGTATGAATCTGATGGTATTCTGGACATTTGTTTGATGGGAATTTTGTGTGTGACATGTAACAGATTTTGGGTATGGTCCAAATCATCTAGCCATTGCTCATTTTTGGCATGAACTAAAGCCCCAAAGGAAGGGGCAACATCTGAGGTGGGGCTAGAAGCGGGGGGCCGGAGAGTTCCAACATAATTAGAAAAAGACAGAGAGAGTTCCATGAATTGCATGACCGCCAGGGGTTTAATTAGTATGTTGTTAGGTCTGCATCACAAATAATGGAGGTAGGGAATGGGGCTGCTAAATGGATAACACCAATCCTTCTTCCCACAATTGATCTCTTCTTATAAAACTAGAACATGCCATCATCAAGCAAAATGAGAGATACAATTTCAAAGGAAACATGATTTTTTTTTCTTTTGCTCTTTCTATTTCACTTTATGTGAATCAGAAGGATGGAGATGAAAGGCAGTTGGCCAGCTTAGCAATGGGAACAAAATAGAGTTGGATGATCATTAATTGAGATTTGAAGATAGCAAGCTAAGTGATGGGTTTGACAAAAGCTAATCACCCACTTAGAAAAGACTACACAAATCCCCTAATTATTTGGTATGATGGGAATTCTTGGTTTTGAAATTTCTTGAGGCAACAGGCATTGTTCAAAGTTACGTAGATAATGGAAAGGCAAAAGAGATTACCATTTGTTGAGGTCACAGGTATTGGTTTACTACAGGACAAAACGGGCTTCGTAACAGTGTAACTGTGCACATCTTAATTATATTACTCACAAACCTTGCGCAGCCAACCTTTCGGTAATAAATTACAAATTACCAAATGTATTAAACTCAAAGGGCACAGTAGTAGGGAGATTGAGGTACCATAATACATTTTATATTGCCGTCCACTTGCTTAAGTGCTTCGTCTTAGACAAAATCATTGGAAATTGGCTTTCAGACGATTTTCTATGCATCAAAACATGCAAAAAAATGAGAGATTGAGCATAAAATCAAGAGCAAGTTTGCTTTGCAAGATAACACTCTCCCAATGTACATTAATTAACTAAATATTTTAATTTTATACTGGTTGCAATAAAGTAGAAATCGAGGGGGGAAAATAGATTTAAAAAGGGGGTGCCAAAAATAGAAAGAAAATGAGAACATGGGAACCTTGTCCTCACGAAGTTGTTACGCCCCTGAAAGCTTAAAAAAGAAATGCTTATCTGACAACCACTATGTACTGTGATGATTTCCTGTCGTAATTCCATAATAAAAAAAAATCAAGTAATGATGACAAAACAATCAATAACTTTGATAAATTTAATCTTTGATCGATGGAGAACCTCAAGGTTCAATGCTTCCATCAATGATAGCAAACCCTTTTTCTTTTCTTATTTTTTTCCTCCCTCACCCCATTACTGTTCTACATATCTTTTACTCGGAATAGACAAGGGAAAGGAATGGAGATTCAGAGAGTAGAAAAGCATATGAAACTATAATAGCAAGAAATTGTAAATTCCGTATAAACTACTGTGGAGATTTCAACAACTACATGAACTATTTTGAAGCTTTTGGTGGTCCTGAATGTCAAGCCAGCTGCATACAAACTCATAGTTATAGAATCATTGATTTTCCTTTTCCGTGAAGGAGTCTTGGGGAATAGTGAAAAATGCCAGCAGGCTTTTCCTTGTAAGCCAAAATGAGCCATGGGATATTTACTGCTGCTAGGCTGGTAAGTTGTACTGAGGAGGGTTTGTTACAATGAATGGGGTTAGGAACATTATTGCAGAACATGCTTTTCGAGGACTAGGAAACATTTTAAAAAGATTCAAACCAACCATACCATCTGGTTCAAATTAGAACTCTCATTTAATGGAAAGATTGTTTCTTCATATTCCCATGATCATGCTTTACGCATTGAGTAATTAATGTCCTCCTCACCATACTGGCTGGAGATCTTCAAGATTTTCTCCCTTGAGCCAAAACAAGATTCTTCTTAGAGGGTAAAGTCACATTGTGGAGACATCAGCCCATATTCTTTGGGCTTAGAATGGGCTTAGTTATTAGATATCCAAAAAAGTAATTCACTAATATGTAGAAGTAGGACTGAGTTAGGAAATTAGATGGGTTTCCCAAAATACTCTAACAAGTTCAAAACAAAGTACTATAAATTCCAAACATTGAATTTTAACAAGTCCAAATACTTTCAGAAAGTTTGGAGTACATGGAACCCCTTTCAAATAAAAACAAGTATAATCTCCACTCTGGCCATTGATTTATATAAACCCAAACCAGGCCATTGAAATTTTCAGTGGACCAACAAGCACTGAGAATTGAGCAAATTAGGGAATTTTAATATATGGCAATGAGTGGCCTGGGCTAGGCTTCTTTACTTGAACCAGACCCTGCCCAACTGTTGCCAATGGAGTCTGTCTTTTTTTTTTTATACAGTTTTTTTTTATTTGTCTTAGTTATAAATTAATGCTTTATTTGGTGGTTCTTTTTTTGTTTATATACTTTCCTTTTGCTTAATTTTTTTCATTATATTACAAATATCTCCAACCTATGTAAGTGTGTTGCACTATATTAAATTCTTTTTAAGATTCCTTAAACTTTACTAGTATAAATATGTTTTATTCTATTACTTTAGGGTTCTAAGTAGACCTTTGACGGTGTGTTTTGCTTGTGTATTTTTGAGTGTATTTCTTTTGTCAAAAGAATTTAAGAACTCTTCCAGTAGGTACTATTTCATATTACGCTGATGGTGCTTTGCCCAAGCTCCAAGTTTTCCCACACATAATACTAAGACCAACCCATAAGCAATCTAAAGGACTAAATATTCCTCCCCTTTTGTTCTTTTTGAACAAGTTCTTGCTGCAAGAAATTCATCAGTTATAGCTCAATGTTATATATTGAAGTGCAAAGACATATCTTCCTTGATTGGACTGTCATCTATCAACTCCATCCGGTTCATCACCATGCATTCCACCCAGGTAGTCACGTATGGTGCCCACCGACGTTCAGCTTCTCGTCTAACGATATTTGCACACCTGTTCGGCATCCTGGCTTTCATCTTGATGCTGGTTTGGTTGCTCCATTATCGTGGCGGTATCGAGTACGGTTCTTATGATAGCTTTCGTGTTTTCAATGTAAGAAAACAAACCATATATGTATGGTCTCATGTTAAGATTGTTTTAAATATTTAATTAATTTTTATGAAGTTAATAATTATTGGTATTTGCAATGGCAGGTTCACCCATTTCTTATGTTCTGTGGGTTCATTTTTCTGTCTGGTGAAGGTATTGGCAATTGATTAGAATTACTTGAGCTAAATCAAGTTTTTCAACCCTTTTTTCTTGCTATGCATTTGAAAATCTTTCTAACAAGGTTTAATTGATGGGGGGTTTGAACTAAAACAGCAATGATGGCCTACAAGACAGTACAAGCTAAACATATTGTGCAGAAGGTAGTCCATATGATACTACAGCTTATGGCTTTTGTGCTTGGGGTGGTTGGGATTTGTGCAGTTTTCAAGTTCCATGATATGGCCGGCATAGAGGATGTTTACAGTTTGCATTCATGGATTGGCATCGCCACCATTTCCTTGTTTGCATTGCAGGTAAAGGAAATTCCGAACGATACAAATTAACTTTACTAATTTTCCGTACAACTCTCGTGCAATTAAGCCACGGACCCCTCATTTCCAACCTATTTTATTTCAGTACTCAAACGGTTGAATTTTCACATATTTTAGCATTTTACTTTTCATATATTTGAACGCTAATTGCAGGTATCAAATGGATCACTTTTTTGTAATTGAAAAAGAATATTCTATAACCCACTTGGCCTAGTCATATAAGAAGAAAGATTTACTGATTATTAGAACATGGATAAAAATCAGAAGGATTGTTCTTTAAAAGAAAAAAAGATGTACTGTATTGCAACTTTATTTAGACCTGACTCTTGTGTAGCAACACAAAGTGTTATTTTTAAGTAAAGATATTTATGGGTTAATTCAAAGTTAAATTAAAATAAAGATACCTGATAGATTTGATTCATATTCAGTAATATGTTGGTTCAATCTAACCTACTGGTAAGAGGCGGAAGCTATGTTGTCCTCTTTCCCTTTCTTGTATTTAACACACCCAAACAAAGGAAAATCATGCACCAAAACAATACTATTCATAAATATAATTTGTTCTGTTCTCAAAGGAAAACAACACACACAGAACATAAACACACTTGAAGTCGTTCAAGATTTCTTTTAACAAACTACATTGCTCTAATTGCCTAACAAAGCTTATAAGCATATGTAAGGATTGTGTTTCTCCCTTAAATTGGCAAGATGTTAAATTAATGATTAAATGCTGCCTACACCAGCTAACCAAGGCTTCAAATTTGCTAGCAATAGCATATTAAAATTTTCCTTTTGGAGACACAAATAATAAGATCAAGGGAAAGGAAGAGTAATTTCAACCTTCAATCTGTTAAGGAGACTTCCCAACATCTCAATCAAAAAAGAATGTACATCGATCTCCTTTGCTCGTTTAGTATTTGACTACCACATTGGCTGAAATTGTTTATGATTTGATTTTACTACTGGATGGTGCAGTGGCTAGCGGGGTTGTCCACTTATATGTTTCCGCAAACAGACGTGACGAGGACAGCCGTGCTTCCCTGGCACGTTTGTCATGGCAGGACATTGCTATACATGTCGATAGCTGCAGCTCTCACTGGCTTGATGGAGAAGGCTACCTTCCTCAACCTGCGCCATGGCCATGAAACTCGTTTGATCAATATCATAGGACTATCTATCCTCTTGTTTGGCATATTTGTAGATCTCAGCGTTGCTCTTGCCCGTTATGTCTGATTATTTATGAATTGTTTTAATCATCTTTTTTTTTTCTTTTGCATGTGTGTGGTTTTCATCTTGGTTTTCTCTTTCTTTTTTGGGGTGAATTTACACTGGATTGATGTTGTAATTCCGATAATTTTAATTTATTATTCATTTCACTTATACAATTTAATTTCCCCCAAGTGGTCTTTACTTTCTACCTTGATGGTTGGAAAGAAAAACTGGTGCATATTTCTTATTCCTGAATGTTTGCCTGAGGAAAATTTCAGAAAGCCAAGCCCTGGATATGGATTAGAGAAATTATATTATCATGGACAAAAAAAGGGAAAAATCTTATCTGCAAATTCCTGGCTTGTTTGGTGCTATTGCTTAAGTATGGTTTTAAAATATCCTAAGCATTGTTGATTTCCTTAATTATTATCCAATTCAAAGTCAAGGGTACTTTACTGGTTCAGGCATAAATTGCAGACTTGCAGTGAATAACATTCGTGTAGGATGCCATATGAGAACATCCAGCTTCTTAATTTTGACAAGTTTTCTGCATTGATTTTGTGGTGCTATAATATTAATTAACTAGATTGAGCCATGATAATTTGTAAACTTAATGAGGCTTAGCTTTCCAAACATGCTTTTTATAATTTAAAAGCAGGAAATCAGGAAGAGTTTTGCCTCATAATACAAGTTAAATTTCACTAATTGATGAACTGAGTCGTTAGTAAATTTCTAACAGCAACACCCTTGGCTTTTCTTATAACTCCGAATGCTGCCTATTCTCTGCAATATGCCCAATCCAGAAACAAACAATCATGTGCAAGTCTTACTAAATTCTCTGCATGATTAATTGGTAATCCATGTATAATTTCTAAGCAAAAGCAATAATATCTCCATAGTATTGGACTTGCCACCTTTGAATTAGCCGGCTGGACGGTTTTACCAAATACCAAGTTTGGAAGTATCTTCCCTATGCAAACAAAAAGCTACCTTTGCTAATGGCAAATACTTTTGACGGCCTTGTCTCTTGCTAGGATGTTATATAGCACTGAACTCTCCATCTTCATTCGTTGGATGCAATGGCGCCTAAAAGCAGAAGCTATCAAGTTTCTGCAACCCCATTCACAGTATTTGGACATTTGTTATTTATAGCAGTGGCAACCCTCGTTCTCGTTTGGCTACTCAAGTTCCGAGAAGGCCTGGCTTTTGAATCTGCTAATAAATTTAAGATTTTCAATGTGAGTTTCCAATCTATTGGACCTAGCTAGTTCATATCTCAATTTGTTTCATGTGTTCCTGGAGGAAATTAATTCTCTCCATGCATGGAAATTGATTCTATGCATATTAGTCTCTTTCAACTTATTATAAGAGATTCTGTTATTCATTTTGTTTCACTCCCACTTGCAGCTGCATCCACTTCTAATGGTGATTGGATTCATATTAATTGCTGGAGAAGGTGAGTAAAGGGGTAATAATTCGTTAGAATTTTTTTATGTTAGTACAATCTAGCTGGAAAAATGAAGCAATTTCCATTTTCTTTGGCATCAAAAGAGTGCACATCAACAAACTTACCCCCAAGAAGTTGACCATAAGCATATTATTTTCCTTCCGGCTTTTAGACTATTATCACTAGTACCAAATTTGAAAGAAAATAATGATTTACTCAAACACTAGGTTTTTGATGATTTAAGTGGAAGTATAAGAAAATCCCATTGAAATAAACATAGTTTTAGAGCATTCACTGCATTATGAAATTGTATTGCAACTCCATGGGGTGATCTGCACCAATGCTATGGATTCTAAGTTTCTAAGTAAGTAAGTACCATCTAAAACAGCAATCATGGCATACAAGACAATCCCAGGAAGAAGAGACGCGCAAGTGCAACGGGTAGTTCATCTCACTTTGCAAACCATTGCTCTTGGTTCTGGGATCTTGGGGATTGTTGCAGTTTTCAAGTTCCAGGATGAGGCCGAAATTCCTGACATGTTTACCTTACATTCTTGGCTAGGCATGATTGCCATCTGCTTGTTTGGTTTGCAGGTACCTAAATCGTTTTATTTCTTGGCCAAATACTAGTAATCTGAAACAATATTCTAATATATATATATTTTTTTTGCAGTGGTTGCTTGGTTTCTTCTCCTTTGTGTTTCCTCGTGCAGAGTCATATTCAAGAGCAGGATACAAGCCATGGCACATTTTTGGTGGCTTAGTTATCTTCTTCTTAGCAATTGCCACAGCTGAGATGGGATTGTTACACAAATTCCTTCTATTATGGCTTTTTCGCAGCCAAGAAGCACTCATTGTCAACTTCATTGGATTGTTGCTGTTTCTATTTGCAGTGGCTGTTGGCCTCAGCGTTGTCCTGCCTCGAGATTATTGATGGAAATAACTCACATACTAGCTCGGAGAAAATCTTGAAAATTTATTGAAGAATTATTACTTTCGATTTATGGAAAAATGATTGACAGGAGTCTGGAACACATATTGATATGAGCTTGAGTGATGTCATGTTCATTTACTGTGTAATTTTAAAGAATTATAGAAATAAATTGCGATCAACTTTCTATTCAATGTGAAATCATATACGGTTCTTTGTAATTTTTGATTATTGATGTATTAAATACATTTGATTGTTAGATATGTAAAGCTTTAATTACAATCTTATAAAAATTTTTAAATATCAAAGAATCTTTTTTTTTATAAAATAAAAAAATTTATATTATTTTATAAAGTAGTGGGTATAGTTGAAAAAAAAGTCCCTTAATTAAAGATGACTGTATCAAAGCTATTTTGAATATTAATATAGATGGATAGATCAAAAGGGTCGAGAGATATTTTAATAATTAATATTTATCCGAATTGAAAAGCAAGACGAATAGAATGATTTTGTAAGATAAAATATTAAGGAAAATCTTATAAACTATGGTTGGTTTCACAAATGAAGTAGTTGCCATGGGAATTGAAGGAAGTGGTGTAGGGATGTAGGTCCCTTGAGGACAAAATGTCAAAGTGAAACTCCACGAGGGAACACCAGTTGTGCAAACCACAAAGAACCCGTGATGTTCTCGCATCTGCAATTCAAAATTGCAATGGTCCCAATGATTATTTGTGGGCATGACCGTTGGTGGCGCATTACCATATCCACCTTTATTCTCTGGAGAACATGTTCAACGGTGCCAATCACTAGTTGCTACTTTGCTCTCCGGATGCTAGGGGATATCTAAATTATATTATATACAATTAGCCAGATATGGGGAACACTTTCTTTTGGAGCACCGAGACTGATCAAATCTATATCATGATAGCAACAGGCATAAAGGTTTTGACATTTCAACTCTCGGCATCACAAACATGGCTATCCAGGAAGTTGAGCAGAGACGCATGCCTGAAACATCGTTAGGATTGAAACTTGAAAGCTGGAGATATGGCTAAGCAAATTGTCTGATTTGTTTGCAGCCTGAAATTTCAAGGCCGCTAATGTTTTGTCAGCCATATGATCCTAAGATGTACCGAAGCTGACACGTCCAAAGTGAACCTGCCAATATCATTGTGTAGTATTTGACTCTATGCAGATAGCTATATTTCAAGTACATAAATTCCCCAAGAGCAATAGGCATCCAAGAGATATTTCAGTGGCTGAAATTTATCATTGGGAAATGCTGAAATGTTGACGATTCATAAATTTCACAACTGCGAACAATCATTCATTTCCCATTTTCTAGAAACAAGCAGAATCCAGAAGGTTAAAAAACTTAAATAAACTACACACCTTTGGCTTAATTGTTAACGAAAAAAATTAGAAAAGGAAAGAGGTTTAAACCCACCGCTGCTTTGTGGCTTCCATTCTCTCCAACAAACTGGCAATCTCGGCTTGCATTCTTAGTTTCATTTTGTAGTAATCACAATGTGAGTGTTCCAAAACCTTTAGTTCTTCCACTTTCTTCCTTCGTCTTTCCTCAGTCTCTTGTAAACAAAGTCTGGATAGCTTCTCAGCATACTCTTCTTCCAACTTGTCAGACTTGGCTCCAATCATCCTCATGTAAGTCTCAGCCTCTCTCCGTGCTTCGTCGGCCTTGCTTTGAAACATCATTGCTTCTGCTTCCTTAATCCTTACCATGCTTTCTAAGCTGTCAAATCCATCATTATTTGATAAACTGCCAAACCGGTATTCATCTTCACTTTTTAAATCATTTGCAAGAGCAGGTTTGATATCTTTCTGACCATGATCATTTGGAAGTAAATCTCGTCCACTTGAAGAGCTTGTGCTGTAAAATACAAGCTTTGGAGGAAGAGAAGTAGCTGGTGTGACGGATGATTCATCTTTTCTAAGGTCAACTTGAGTTGTCATTAGGTCTTTTGAACATGCACCAGAGGGAGGAAAGTCTGCCATACCATCAGTGTCTATTTGTCCAGGCCGGAAAGGGCAAAAAAAAAGAGAAGAAAGAGTCAAAGACAAGAATATCCTAAATTGAGAGATGCATACAAATAAAATTACAGGAATTATCACCAATATAACTAGCTCCATAAAGGAAAAAGAATGGTGGAGACATCTAATATGATACATGTTTCAAGAACAATAATCAAGACAAATAAGGCATGCACCAAAACTACAAAGAAGCCACCTCGCTTATTAATCTAATCAGAAACGTCCTAATCAAAGCATAATGGTGTAATCTGATCCATATGGCAAACCCACAAGGTGGGACAAGGCTTTGTTTTATTGTTGTAGGGAGCCATAATCAAAGAAAAGATTTCAAGAACAAGATATAATCACCACCCACCCCACCCCCCCCCCCCCCCACCCCGCGCAAATGTCCTCTGTTTAGCTAATCAGTTCACTCAATCATCAAAAGCCCTTTACAATCAGGATAACTAGTTCTCACAATAAACTACTTTCTCATTCACTTTAAAAGGGAATCTTGCAACCTCAAAGGTAATCATTATTTTTCCAGTCCCAATCATAGAATTGAGACAATTTCCCATTGACTGCATACACAACAACATAAAAGTATGAGTAAACCCTTCTGTTGCACAAATTTACAGAGGAAAAAGAGAAAAGTTAAGAGCATGAGCCATAATGGCCTAACTTCCTTTCTGGTACTCCTCTCAGCAGGAAAGCAAACCAAATGATTTGAGAAAACCATGTTGTGGATCACAAATTAGGCCAATTTATAAACCAAATCACTCACATGAACCATTTTCAAACAAATATTTAGTCTTTCATAAAGCAAATGAATCTTCAAAGGCCAGTTTCAATTTATTCAGTTCTTTTTTTCCCTTTTACGTACAAAAAGTGAGAAAGCCTAGTTATGTAAATTTCTCATAAAACTAACCAAGCCATCAGGAAGAACCTGCAGGCAAAGCTTTTAATTTACAGTTTTAAAACCAGGAACTGTGTTAGTGGAGTTCCAGAATCATTTTAGTAATCTCAAACTTCAAAGGATGACTTAAGGCTCAATTACACGAGAGACACTTTTTTGGCTTTCCTCAGTTTATGGAAAACCATTATCTCAATAGCTGAAATGTATTTAGTTTGAAGGTAATAAATTGATATGCAGAGAAAAGGAAGAGCTGTATTATTATCTTCTAACTGGATATATAAGGATCAAGAGAAACTAAATCTCAACCATCTTAGTTCAAAACCTTAACCATGCGGAAATCTTAGAAAAGTGGTCCTTCTTCTATGTGGTTTAGTTTCTTTTACATTAGCTGAGGCATCAATCTATCAAAAATAGAGGCAAGTAGATTTTTTTTTTCCTGGACATGTGGGGAAAAGACTGATTAAACAGATTCAAAGTCAAATGGTATTTTAACATGAAATTCTTTAGTATAGTACATATTTCTGCTTTACTACCAGCCTTTCATGCATAGTGGCACAGAGAAGGATTCAGGTCTTCCAATTCAACAAAAGATTTCAACTCATCATGAGATTATGAAATGCTAAGGATAGGTATCCTCTCCTTAGGATAAAAAAATGGGAGGTGGTAATTTTTCAAATTTGGTCAATTAATGTTAGCATTTTAAGGTGGCAGTGGTGAGCATCTTACAAGCCATTAATAATATTACTATGTTCTCTGACCTCTCTGCATATTCCATTGTATATGGTATTCCAACACTATAAATAGCACCCACATCTATAACTGAAAGTTTTAATTCTAGTACTTAATAGTTTAATTGAAACCCTTTCTCTTCACTCCTACACTGTCCTGCTATGCAAGTAACATTAACATACATGCATGCAACAACAAGGCCATTAAGAAGAAACTAGGAGAACATTGATCGAGATGCAATATATCTGTATTCCATGAAATTTGTTTGATGTGCTTTCATAATGAAGTTTGCATAACGAAAGAGACAGAACAAAAGATACTTACAGTTGAAGAACTGAATAATGACGCTGCATGCATCTAAAGCAGACATCATCTTATTTTGGAGCTGGGTCCAGAGTTCATCAGCTTTAATGTGCAGTTCCTTGCCTTTTGAATCATCACTGCCCTTGAAAATCTTCCTCACACAATCAAGCTCCTTTTGCAGTGTTTCTGGACCCCAGTCCTTTGCACAGCATAAAAACACATCCTTAACAAACCCAAACATTTCTGAAGCATGACCACATCCTATGCAGTGAAATTGCATTTCTGTAGTCCCAGATGGCCCCTTTAAACTAGGACCTGGCTTGATAAGATTCCTCTGAATACCACATGCAGCATGGCACCAATGGGAACAAACATCACAACCAACCCAACTGCAAGTATTGTTAGCACAATCAAAATTTAAGCAGATAGGACACATACAAGAACTGCAAAACCCCTTGTTCCCTGAGCATATCTTACAATCACAGTCATCAACAGGCAGCAAACTCTTACAATTCAGATTCCTGCATCTCATAAAGAAGAAAATCTCCAGCAGCTCAGTTGTGGGCAACCGCATTTTTACAGACAAGAAGCTTTTAACGCCCATTTTGACTGCAACTAAAATTTCTAGCTGGTCCTTTTGGCACTTTGAGAGAGTCTCCTTGTAAGATCAGATCTCCTCTCAAGCGGTTTTGAAGCCACTAATTCTTCCTTCTTCTCTGGAGTTGCTATTATATTTCTCAAGTACTCTTTGGTCAATTCCAGCGTTTCATCAGGCAGCTCCTGCATTATTTGAGCCATGGCCGGAATCGACTCTGACACAATCTCACGAAGAATTCTCTCCGGTCTTGAAATCTTTCGGGATCTCCCTCCATCCATACTCTCCAAAACTCTCAAATTCTCTGAATCCCTCCTCCTCGAATCCCCTGACAGATTATCTACACGCGGCCTAGCAGGCAATTCAGATGGAAAAAAGGAATGATTATCTGAACTAGTCGTTCTATGAAGACTATTGCACGAATCTTTATTCACTTGACGATTAACCTGCATCATGGAAAAGCCCCCACCACCACCACCACCACCATGATTGGCCAAAGCAACTCCTT